GGGGGGGGGGCGGGAAAGGCCAAGAAAACAGATATCGTGGTTGGAGTCTGTTATAGACAACCCAACCAGGATGAAGAAGCAGACAAAATACAAGCAGCTGGGAGAAGTCTCACAATTGCTAGCCCTTGTTCTTGTGGGGGACTTCAACTTACCAGACATCTGCTGGAAATACAATATAGCAGAGAAGAAACAAAGGAGGTTCGTGGAGTGTGTGGAAGAGACCTTCCTGACACAGCTGATGAGGGAGACAACAAAGGAAGGCATCCCATTGGAGCTGTTGTTTGTGAACAGAGAAGAACTTGGGGGTGATGTGATGATTGGAAGATATCTTGGGCATAGCAATCATGAAATGATAAAGTTTTCGGTACTCAGAGAAGTAAGGAGGGGGATCAGCAGAACTGCTACCATGGACTTACAGAGGGCAGACTTTGGCCTATTTAGAGGCCGGGTTGACAAAGTCCCTTGGGAGGCAGTCTTGAAGGGCATAGGACTCCAGGAAGGCTGGACATTCTTCAAGAAGGAAAACTTAAAGGCACAGGAGCAGGCTGTCCCCATGTGCTGAAAGACGAGCTGGTGGGGGAGAAGACTGGCCTGGCTGAACAGAGAGCTTTAGCCGGAACTCAGGAAAAAAAGGAAAGCTTATACCTTTGGAATAAGGGGCAGGCCACTCAGGAGGACTACAAGGATGTTGTGAGGTTATGCAGGGAGAAAATTAGAAGGGCCAAAGCCCAACTAGAATTCAACCTGGCTACTGCCATAAAAATGTTTCTATAAATACATTAGCCCAAAGGAGGGGTAAGGAGAATCTCCATCATTTATTGAATCTGGGGAGAAACCTAGTGACACGATATGAGGAAAAGGCTGTGGCACTTAATACCTTCTTTGCCTCAGTCTTTAATTGTAAGACCAGTTGTTCTCGGGGTACCCAGCCCCCTGAGCTGGAAGACAGGGATGGGGAGCAGAATGAAGCCCCCATAATCCAAGAGGAAATGGTTAGCAACCTGCTACACCACTTAGACATGCCCAAGTGTATGCGGCTGGATGGAATCCACCTAAGGGTACTGAGGGAGCTAGTGGAAATGCTCACTAAGCCACTTTCCATCATTTATCAGCAGTCCTGGCTAACTGGGGAGGTCCCAGTTGACTGGAGGTTAGCAAATGGGACACCCATCTACAAGAAGGGCCAGAAGGAGGATCCAGGGTACTACAGGCCTGTCAGTCTGACCACGATGTGGGGGAAAGCTATAGAGCAGATCATCTTTAGTGCTATCACACAGCACGTACAGGATAACTAGGCCATCAGGCTCAGTCAGCATGGGTTTATGAAAGGCAGATCCTGCTTGACAAACCTGATCTCCTTCTATGACAAGACAACCCACTTAGCAGATGAAGAAGGGCTGTGGATTGTCTACCTAGACTTTAGTAAGGCCTTTGACCACAGCATTCTCCTGGAGAAACTGTCTGCTCATGGCTTGGATGGGCATACTCTTTGCTGGGTAAAAAACTGGCTGGATGGCCGGGCCCAGAGAGTGGTGGTGAATGGAGCTAAATTCAGTTGGTGACTAGTCACAATTGGTGTTTCCCAGGGCTCACTACTGGGGCCCAGTTCTGTTTAATATCTTTATCAATGATCTGTATGAGGGGATCTGGTGCACTCACCCTCCGTAAGTTTGCAGACAACACCAAGTTGGGTAGGAGTGTTGATCTTCTTGAAGGTAGGAAGGTTCTACAGAGGGATCTGAACAGGGTGGATTGATAGGTCGAGGCCAATTGTATGAGGTTCAAAAAAAGCTGAGTGCCGGGTCCTGCATTTGGGTCACAACAGCCCCATGCAACGCTACAGGCTTTAGGAAGAGTGGCTGGACAGCTGCCCAGTGGAAAAAGACCTGGGGATGTTGGTCAAAGCTGCCTGAACATAAGCCAGCAGTGTGCCCAGGTGGCCAAGAAGGCCAATGGCATCCTGGCTTGTGTCAGAAATGGCATGGCCAGCAGGGACAGGGAAGTGACTGTCCCCCTGTATTCAGCACTAGTGAGGCCACGCCTCAAATACTGGGTTCAGTTTTGGGCCCCTCACTACAAGAAAGACATTGAGGGTCTGGAGCATGTCCAAAGAAGAGCAACAAAGCTGGTGAAGGGTCTGGAGCACAAGTCCTATCAAGAATGGCTGAGGGAACTGGGAGTGTTTAGTCTGGAGAGAAGGAGGCTCAGAGGAGACCTTACTGCTCTCTATAACTACCTGGAAGGAGGTGTTGTAGCAAAATGGGGGTCAGTCTCTTCTCCCAAGTAACAAGCGATAGGACAAGAGAAAACAGCCTCAAGTTATGCCAGAGAAGGCTTAGATTGGATATTATGAAAAATGTCTTCACCGAAAGGGTTATCAAGCATTGGAACAGCCTGCCCAGGGAAGTGGTTGAATCACCATCCCTGGAGGTGTTTAAAAGACATGTAGACATAGCGCTTAAGGACACCATTTAGTGACAGACGTGGCAGTGTTAGGTTAACAGTTGGACTTGATGATCTTAAAGGTCTTTTCCAGCCTAAATGATTCTGTGATTAACCAGAAAAAGGAATTGTTCTGTACATTCAATTTAGCCCCATGAATACAGGCACCGGAATAGCAACCTGAAATACAGCGTGGCCGCTGCACTGGGAAGTCAATTTGTTTAAACAACCAGCAGTGGGGCGGGAAGGATCCTGCTGGGCAGCTGGCACCCGCTCCCCAGCCCGCTTTGCCTCTGCTGCAAATGAAGGCAACAGATTGCAATACCCTGGAACAAATTAGCCCTTCCATTCATCTTCATTAGCCACGCAGTTTCACTGGATCCGAGCTCACTACAAGTGGGTTCCCAATATCTATGTAAATCCTTCTCTTTCTACATGTATTCACTCATGTTTATTAGTAGGTACCAGAAGCAACACTAAAAGTACAAGCCATACAGAAGAGGAAATTAGTGAGGGCTGTCCATGTCTGCACAAGGTTATCATCCTGATTATGCCGTGGAAAGCAGAGCATTTGAGTATTACCCCTATAATTATTGGTGGTGGTGGTGCATTAAATGTGTACCTTTAAAAATAAATCTGGCAAGTCTAGAGCTACCACAGCAGATTGATTCATCACTATGGGTTGTGTCAGAAGATGGGGTAGTTGGTCAACACAGAGTTGGACCTCCACATCCATGCTGGGATGGGTGAAGGAACCACTTCAATTTGGTAGGATTGGATTTCCCCTGGAAATCAATGGGTGAAAATCAGGATGCCCTCTTTAGGCTGAAATTTGGATTTAGCAGAGCTACCTTCAGCCATTCCTCCTTTGAGGCCTCGGCAGGAGGACAGCCAGGACTTCCACAAAAACCTGTCCCCTTTCCAGTTTGTTGCATAGGAAAGGAAGCAGCCAAAGGGGTGTAAATCCTGCAGTCAGTGAAGGGGCCCATGCCAAGACCCAGCAAGAGTTATTCATCTCTCATTTGAGCAGGCACCCACGCTAACCACAAACCCTTCCACAGATCGACTGGAGATGAAGACCTGGAGCCCCAGAGTGGGTCAGGGGGACCCCTGGCCCCCCATCACACAGCCAGCTGTTTGCTCAGCATGTGCGGCCCCCTCCCACACGCTGGCACCCCCACACCTCATCTGCAATGGGGGGGGCCTTTTATTAATTACTGGTAATTACTTATTTTACATATTGTTACTGATTTTTTTTTTGTTGCAAGTAGCTGATTATATTTAAGAGATAAAGAGGGAAAATGTCTGCCCGGGCAGCTAAATCACTGGAACAAGGCTACAAAGCCCCGACCGCACATCGCAGACCTTGCCAAGTGTTTCAAAACTGAATAGTCATTGGGTTGGCAGATAATTCAGAAACTATTTGTATGAGCTGTTTATCAAATTATTAACTGCACAGATGTTGTTTGGTTGAAGAGCAGCTGAACCTTCTCTCTGCCAGCCGTGGAGACAAAGGTCTGCAGGAATAATTGGAGATGTGCATGGAATATTAAATTAATTTACTGCTCTTAATTCTTATGCAAATCCTGACCTCTGATAGAGCCTATCAATTACCCTGCATACAGGGAAAAGAAAGGAGAACAGTTTCTTTCTTTTCTTCCCCCCCTCTTCTTTTTTTCCTGTTGTTCTTCAGTTTGTTTTTTTTTGTTTCTTTTTTTTTTTTCCTTTCTGAAAAGAAACTTGGAAAAGGAAATATTTGGGGGAGGAAAAAAGCCATTTGTGAGAGAAGCAAAGAACGGGGATTATTTAATTGAATCTCCTGGTTGCAGTGATGTCCCCTGGGAGTCCGGACGCAGTTTTTGAAATAGCGGGGGGGAGGCCTGGGAATGGAGTCCAGGGCCAGGCTGAAATAGCTCCACACGCTTCCACAGGAGGGGACGGAGGGGCCCAGCTCGGCTGGAGCGGGAGACGACGGGAGGCCTACGTGGATCTGGGGTGGATTTTGGTAGGGTCATGGGTGGGAAGGGGGCCCTTGCTCATCTGCTGCCAGGGGTCTGTCTCTTATACACA